CCTAAATTTACCCATCGTCCGATGTTAGAATGCCATCCAATAATACTATTCATAATCCAAGCATAGTCTCTGATTCTGCTTCCTTCCAATATGACACATTTTTGTAGTCGGACACCGTCACCAATAACAACATTTGGTCCAATCGTGACGTATGGACCGATTCTACAACCTTTGCCAATCTTGGCAGTCGGATCGACGAGAACATTACCTCCATACACATAATCGCAATCAGAGTTTGCAAGGAGATGAGGTTGTTTTTTGGCTAAATTGGCAAGGTATAAACAAGTACCAGTCAAAAAATCTTTAGGCTGTCCAACATCCATCCAAAAACCTTCTAGTTCAAATGAATGTAATTGAGAATCAGCCGCCACATGAGGAAACACTTCTTTTTCAATAGAGGTAGGTTTGAGCTGTTTTTGTAATTCATATAAATTCAACCAATCATAATAATAAACAGTACAAAAAGTTATTATAAATAAAAACCTGCTAGTAAGGAAACTAACCTCAATTCTGTCCAAAATAGAAGGATTTAATATATATATGCCAGCATTAATTTTGTTGCTGACAAATTCTACAGGTTTCTCCACGAAGCGTTGGACACGAGATGAGCCAGGATGATTTACAATCACACCGTACTTTGAAGGTTCTTCGACTTTGGTAACCTAAAAGCATATTATTTTTAAAATGTCCATTTAATAAAAATTTCATATTATTCGTATGAGGTGAAACTGAGAAATAAGTTAATTGCATACGTACTACAATAGTGCCTTCATCCCCATGTGCTGCATGAAAATCTCTCAGCTGTTCAAACGGATATTCACAAATGATGTCACTGTTTAATACAAAAAATGGAGTATTATCCTTAGAGAGAACGTCACGAGCCAATGCAAGGGGACCAGCTAAATACATAGAAATATTAATACTATTTTTTTAAATTGATCATAAAACCAATTACATTCATGATACCGACCAGTTCCTAAAGGTTCATTTTCAACGGAAAAGGTGATTTGAATATTGAATTTCTCTTCATATTTTTTAAGAAGAGTTACCATAATTTCAGGACGATAATTTACGGCCAACACAATGTCTTTTACTCCTGCCTTTAAAGAATATGAATTAATTGAAAGGTTCTGTAATATGACCAATCGTATTGATTTATTGATTCCAATTTTAACAGTAAAGTCTACCTTTACAAGGCCTTCTATTTGATGCAATATCATGGGTTTATTGCAAAACTCCACCAAAGGTTTGGGAAGAGTAAGTGTCAAGGGTCGAAGCCTGGTACCAAAACCTGAAACATTATTAAAATCAATTAAAGCTTATTGCCAATATTTTCTCAAAACAAGTATAGGTTGAATTCATTATTTAAATACCGCCAACGAGAATGAGAGCCTTCATGATTAAACTTTTTTTCTCTTGAATTCAGAAATTCAGAAGGAATTGCCAAAATCGTCGATAATTTATATATAAGACTATATGGTGTGACAAATTACCAATTTCGTTCGTGTTAAATTTTGCATACATGCCGTGCATTTAAAAAATTTATTTTGTGCGCTTTCAGCGCGAAAATGGGATGATTGTAACAAAAGAAGAGTTTAAATGGCATTCAGAAGTATTAAATAAAAAAAAAAAAACCTTTTACTGATTTGTAAATTAAAGCAATTAGAAATGGTTACAAATAAGTATTTATATTAAGGGTTTCGTAATCTAATGATTGAAATCGAACGATTTTACTCTGATCACTAAATCAGAAGATACTTATATCGATATATATATAATAAAGAGTGTATAAAGAGTGTATATTATAACAAATTTAACATATCGTATATATAGTATATATAAGGTTTATTCAATCATTCTATTAATGTAACGTTAAGGGGTTCTCGCACAGATCGGATATTTAAAAAATAGATCGGGTTTTGGGTTATTAAAATATAAAATAAAATAACATAAAATAAAATAATGATTATAGTATTTATGACTTTATAATAATTAAATTTTTTAA